TAAGTAGGAGGTGAGCGGTGTTTTAAAAGCGGCGCAGGTCGGGTGAGTGTCGCGGTGAGCTCGGCGTGAATTTACCATGATATCTTGAGCCGCCAGTCAAGGTGTATTATCAGCCAACCAACTCCTCTGCCGCAAAATAACCGTCCCAACCCTCCCTCTCCAATGTAATGCGCACCAAACAACTCGCTCTGCACACCAGCGCACCGTTTACGAGGTCTACACACAAATTGCAAGACCAACCATACCTCATAACCTCGCGCCCCGTTTACCATGTCCAACGACATCCTCACGCAGCTGCAGACCTGCTACGACCAGCTGCTGACCCAATTCTTCGCCACGCTGAGCTACCTCTCACAACGACACCCGCTGGTCGCGCCGGACCCGGACCCCAGCGACCCGTTCACGAACCCGCCGCCAGGCCTGGCCGTCGCCCGAACAGGAGGGAATAGAAGGCCCCAAATATCCCAAACCGCGGGTGGTGGCGCTGCAACGAGCCCCGCAGCCGCTGGCGCCAGCGACGCTGCTTCTTCAGCACAACAACAACAACAACAGCCGCCTGCCGCGATCGTCAACCCGGGACCCGAGGACACAGAGCGCGCGCCGTTCCCCTTGCACCCGGTGGCGGATCGGACCTTCGCGAACGCGCAGCGCGAGCTGGCCGAGGATCTGGTCCTCAAGGGCCAGCAGATCGAGATGCTGATTGCGCGGTTACCGGGGATCGGCACGGGTGCGGCGCAGCAGGCAGAAGACATCAAGGTGCTGGCGGACAAGGTGCAGAAGATGGAGCAGGAGAGGAGGGCGCGGAGGCGGGAGATGAAACAATACGCGGATCGGCTGGAGCGGGTCATCATGGCCATGTCTGTGAACGTGGATTACGGTGACGGTGATGACGGCAACGACAAGGAGGGCATGAACGGGCATGGATGAGGTCGCGAGTGGTGGTGATAATCAGAAAACGTCAGTTATTGGTGCGCCATATCCTGAGGAACAAGGGACATCGATCGAGAGAACCTGGCAGGAAGAGAGAACACCTCTGCTGCTTTCACAAAATGCAGTTCATTCCAATAATGGGAGAGGTCGGGGTCTCTCCTTTTCGGGTCATTCACGCTATCCAACTCCTAGAACAAAAAGGAAAACATCCAACAACTCGACATCGAGGTCGCCAAAGAAAGGTCCTGGGTCACATACAGACCCGCCGCCACGCCGGCTATCGCCATCAAGGTCGCTATACCATCATACTACGCCGCCTGTTCAATGCTCTTTCCTCCCTGGAACTCTCATTGAGTCCCGTTCCGCCACTAGAAGATGCCGCCTCTTTTTCTTTAACGCTGGAACTTATGCTGTGCGAGCGCCTGAAATCTTTTGTCACGGAAGTTCTGCCACTGGATGTGGCGTCTCCACGCAGACTTGCGGCAGAGCTTGGTCGTGAAGGCGGCACATTTGCATCAGACTTGGCGGATCCTGACGAGAGATGGCGAGGTGCAGAAGGGAGATTAGCCGAGTCACCTGAAGAAGGCTGCATAGAATGCCTTCTAGTTGTAGTTGTCGCGCTCGACAACGGTTTTCGTCTCGCCCCAGCAGAACTTTTTGATGACCTGTGGTCATCCGCGTCTGTCCGCATTTCTTTCGAGTCATCGACAGGTGACGAGAGTGGCGGATCGAAAATACTCAATCGGTCCACAGCACTCTCAAGCTCGTCTGCAGTGTTGCGTTTCAGTTGTTTGCCCGACTTCCTGGTCTCATCATCTTCCTTCCCCTTCTTCTCTTTGCCCCTCAGAGGGCTAATTGGTTCATCCTTCTTGGAAGCAGTCGAGGTCGGCATTGCTAGATCGTTCCATCTGTCATCTTCGTGATGGATTTCGCCCTCCTGCTTGACTTTGGCGCCTTCAGATTTCGCCCGTTCCACACTCGTGCCTCTGTTGTTCGAAGGGTTTTCTTTTTGCTTCTCAATGCCCTCTATAGCTCCCACTAACCCCTTGCCAGGCCTTCGCATCTTATCTCTCAGGTTAGGCTCGGCATAGCTGATTTGTGGTCTCGGTCGACGAGATCCCCTTCCTATGCTCCCATTAAGCACGTCCTCCACCGAGTTCAGAACCGCCGCTTCTTTTGTTTGGTGTGTTGTGCGGGAAGATGGCTCTGTGGACACAGGCGAGAGAATATCAGCGGCTTCTGCAGCTGGAGTCTTCGGCGGAATGTCCTTCTCTTCGTCGTGATCATTCGAACCACTGACAAGGCTGTCAATAGCCACACGAGCTTGAGACTCTTTTCGCCGTGTCGGTTTGACAATTGTGTGGTTTACCTGCAGATCTCGGTCGTCTTTGAGCTTTTCGGACACTTGCACCCTTCTCTTCGCAGGGGAATTTGTACTCTTGGGTGCGAGGATCTTCCTGGTTGCGACCGCAGGTTTCTGAGGGCTTAATTGCTTCGTAAGATCTATCGCGTCCCCATTTTCTCGCCCTGGCGGTCTCGTAAATCTAGACGCCTTTTTGCTGTTGACGGTAGCGTTGCTCCAGATCTCTTGCCGACGTTGATAGACAAAGTCGTCATTCTCGTTCGACGGGTGTTGAAGAACAGGCTCGTCGAGCTCAGAGACATCCAATTTCCGTTTGGCGCCTGATTTCAGTAACTGCTGGCTCGGCTTTATTGGCTGCTCATCCGGGACAGGGGTTTCTTCAGTCGGTAGATCGTGGATAAGCGCGCTCGTTCGACGCTTCCGCCTCCTTTCCAGAAGTGACGGTAACTGCATAACTTCCTCCCCAGCATTCTCATCCTCTGACATCCGTGCAGCATCCACCTCGGGGGGTTCGGAGGGGACGTCAAAGTGCACGACTGGAGGAGGTCCAATCTCCGGCGACTCTGCCGCTTGTTGGAGAGCAGCCTCTTCCCGCAGGGCTAATAATTCAGAGGTCTCCAGCGTTCTTCGCGGATAAAGTTTGTCTTCGTGGATAGAGGGTAATCGCCCATCGTACAGATCTGCCCTCTCCTGAGCGAATGCCTCTCTGGTCGACAGCCGATTCCTCCACTCTTGTTCCGTCGCACTACTCATCGTCGTCCTGACAAGCCTGCTTTTTCGTCTTCCTTTCCGCGCCGCCTTTTCGGGTATGTTGCCCATCTCGACCAGCATCTCGGCCACCTCCTCGACTTTCTTGTTCAAGCGGTCCCTCAGGTCGAGAATCTCTGCATTGACGGAACTAGTTGCACGCCATCGTTCCGCTTCCGCCTGTGCGGCGATCGCCTGTTCTCTCAACGATACATTCTCGGCCACGAGGCGGGAGATCTCGGTCTCGAGATTACGGATGCGTTGCGACTGCGTCGAATTGACACGGGCGATTTCGCGGTTTTGACGGATGAAGCGGCGTTTCACTGCATAGGTCCGTTCGTCAGCGTGCGCCAGCACTGAATAGCGAAGAGTTTGAGACTTCTGCAAAGGAGGTAGACTTACGGGATTCAAAGCTTTCTGTCGGCGGAAGGGGGGGATCATTGAGCTTCGCCATGGCAGGTCGTGGTTCATATCATGTGCCGCTGGGTTATCCTCTCGTGTTTTCTTGAATGATTGAATCGGTCTTGGATCTTCGACTTCAGACTAGGGCTGGAATGCCAGCAAATACAGCACCCTCTGCACGTAGCAATGCAGCATAGGCGATAGATTGGGAGGTCAAGGGCAAGGGCTGCTGTTGTACAAGGGTATTTGGGGGTTTGTGGTCGGGATAACCGAAAACGGCGGCGTCAACAACGTGCCTCTTTTGGTCTAGTCCCCGACTTGGCACCGATGACGTCCAATGGAAGACGCGTTTTCGTGAATTTGGGGGACATTCCGCGATATTATGGGAGTCGTACCGCCCTCAATCAGGACTTGCGAGTTCAATAAGTGCATGCCCTGTTGTTCAATCCGGGACGAGAATTGCACATAACACACGACATACCCCTCACGCGACCTCACGACTTCACTTCGAGACCGACGATACCAAGGCCCCAGTCCCTCCATCCCCTACTACCTCTATCTCCCCCTCTCTCTGTGTGTGTACAACCGTCCATCCCCGCCACAGAACCCAACCTCCGTCCAAAAATGTCCTACCATCCCCGTCACATGGACATATACGCCTCTACCTCCTCCGGCGCCGGCGCCGGCGGCAGCAACACATCCTCAACACTACGATCCAATGCACAGACACCTGCGCAATCCCAGCTACAGGCCCGGATCGCCAGCAAGCGCGCCGAGCTGGAGAACCTGCGACAACTGCGCGACCTGAGCGCGCACCTGACGGCGCAGCTGGAGCAGCTGGAGACGAAGCTGGGGAGCCTGCGAGACGGCGCGCAGGCTGTGGCGCTGGTGCTGGCGAACTGGGAAAACGTGCTGCAGGTCATTGGGATGGCGGCGATGAAGGTGCCGGTGCCGCAGTCGCAGTCGCCTCCCACAGCCGGTGCACCTGATGACCCGGACGGCGGCAATGTGGATGGAGGAGCAGGGGGAGATGTGATAGGAAATCCAAAGACATCGCAGGAACGAGACCTGCCAGTACCGTTGGTCAGAATACCTGTACCGCCCAAGACGGAAGATGGCGGGTGAAGGAGAAAATCGTATCTGGCGACGAATAAATGTGTTTCATTTGAAGGAGGGATCAAGTGTGTGCGTGTGCTTTGGTTTGAATCTAGGCGGATCGGTACAGGACGAAACGAATTGCTTTGATACCCTGGACATGGTATCCTTGTTGCGCGCTTTAGAAGACGATGCAGAACATAATCGATAAAACGCTAAATTCAATGAATGAGGTATGGGCATAACTCTACGGCTCGCTTGACACTGTGCCCCAGACACCTATGACACCGAAATCATTGCCTGCCGGAATGATTTTGCTGCCCTTTCATGACCAAACATGAGACTGGTTTTGTCCTTGCCGACTCCTGCGCTGAAGAACAAGACCTTTGAGCCAAAGGAACACATCTCACACCGGGAAAATATATCTCCACAAACCTTCAGACGGGAAAGACACAGAAGAGTATCATGAAGCAAGCGCCACAGCACTGGTCTGTCCTTGAGTCGCCGGGTTCCCAACACCACCCGCCTTCTCTTTTGCTGCCAGGATCTTAGCGGCAATTTTTTTCTTCTGCTTTTCTGCCCACTCACGACTCGCCTGTCTACCTCTCTCTGCCGCCTCCGCTCTGGCCTTGCGAGCAGCCTCTTCCTTTTCGCGCCTCTCCTTCTCTAGGCGTTCCATTTCGGCTTTTGACCGTTCAAAGACCTCCTTGCCCTTAACCTTTTGTTGGACGACATCTTCTTTGGTCACCATGGACTTCTGGCCATTCGCCAGCTGGGCAATTGAGGCTCGAGGATTGACGGAGCTGGTAGTGCGACGGACGCTGGCTTTCGGGTTTGCCACCTCCGAGGCTTTTGATTTTGGACCCAGCGATGTTGGGCGTGGTTTTGGCTGGATTGCTACACCCGGTTTAGGTTCAACATTCTCCTTGTTTAATCCAGTGGCGTAAATGCTCATCCTTGCTTGGCTGGCCTTGTTCTCTCGTGGGACAACACTCGGACGAGATATCTTAGCGGGCACCGGTCTCGCCTTGAAGGACTTTTTCTCACTGGCAGCTTCTTCCTCACGCTTCATCCGCTCTTCTCTCTGGGCCTTCAGTTTAGCTGCCACCGCTTCCCCTGGTAGGCTAAACTTCGGCTTCGTGGGAGACTTGGTAGATTTGGAGGGTACGAATCCGGGCTTGCTGGTCGACAGCGGGCCAGTAGCTGGCTGTTTCTTGGTTGTGTTCGCGAGGTTCTTAACAGGAGAACTAGAGAACGAAAGCGGCGGTGCTGCACTCTGGCTCGAAGACACTCTAGACTTGTGGCTATCGACGACGGGTCTCTTGGTCGGCTTTGCGACGGTAGCTACTTTAGCTGTTGGATTGATGGAAGATCCACGGGCAGCGGTCAATTTCGGGCGCGTCGAAGATGCACCACCTGCTCCAGCATGCTGAGGAGGGCGCCGAGACGGGTTTGCTGGTTGCCGACCAGTCAACTTTTTCTGAGGGTCTACAGCAGGTGTGCCCGCGTGAAGATTGAGGCGGGCTGGTGTGGTCTTTCGCGGTTTGACTGGAGATTCGATCTTGAGTTCGTCCAAGGCAGGCAAGGTCTCTGAAATTTTCTCAATCGCATCTTCTAGAGCATCAATTGCTTCGACAGAGTCTTCGATGCGTGGTGTTCGGGCGCTGACCCGGTCGGCGAAGGATTCTGAAGACTTTCTCTCCTTCAAAAGAGTATGCAACCTGCCGGGGGTTCTCGACGTGATGTTCTCCACAAATGAATCTTCTATAGTGTCTGGAGCAGGTGACGTGACCTCATCCATGGTTTTATGCACTGTTGGATCGAATTTGGGCGTCTTTGGAAGACTGGTGTGGCTGCGTTGTGGGGTAAAAGTTGACTCGGTCACCCCTTGCTCTTCCCGAGTCGCGTCTACCGTCCCTACTGTTACTTCGTTGTGGACAGTAACATGTTCGACGGAGAGAGCTGGTCGCGTGTCCTGTATACTGTCTTTGGCTCCAGAGGATTCAACGTGATGGCTGTCATTCGCGTCCTCAGGGTGCAGCTCCTGCGACTCGTCCGATTCTCCCTTGCCAGACTCTTCTCCCACCTCGTCATCCTTTGTTTTGCGCCCTTTCCTCCTGCTCTTAGCTTTCAGCATGGGCTCAACCTGTTCGTCGGTGAAAGGGTCTTCGGTGGTCGAAGGGTTGATCTCGGTGGTGATGTCTTTCAATGGGGGCCGAACAAGATCCTGGTCCGCGTTGGCGTCGGCGCAATCATCCTGTAGCGAATTATTCGCATTCGCGTCAGCATCTTCGTAAATGAGCTGCGCTTCCTCTTGAGCCTGGGCTCGCAGGGCCGCACGAGTCATGCGCATTGTTACGTGATGTCAATCTATCAGGAGCTTTCGATAACTGTTTGCTAAAGGCGTTCTCAAAGCTGATACACTTGGTCAGATCTTACTTTAAGGATCAAGGCCCGCGACGCGCTTTGTTTGGAAACGGAAGTTACCCGGCAACCATGCATGTATTGCTGCTTTAATGCAATCCACGCCAAGGTTCTTTGCTCAGCCTCGCCTCGAATTCCTCTCACTGGAGCCTCGTCTCATCAGAGCCCATGTAGTTAGTATTTGCGGCTCAATAACAAAGGAGAGGGGAAAAGAGACACTCGGCGGACATTCGATACAATATCTAGACCATATTTTGGCACGGCTACTTCATATGGCTCCAGCAGAAACCTTTCTCGATGACCCAATTCAATTTTTGCCCAAAAGAAGCATGAATACTCCATCTCTGCATTTCCCCCTCTACATTTCGCTCTGTCCATCCATTCCGAAAAGTCCTCCTGGACATGCAACGTAACCTGGAGCATCTCTTCGCCGGCACGAGCCTGCTTTTCAGACCAGTTACCTGCCCTTTGCAATCGCAGCCAACTGACTCGCTATCTCGGGCAACACGTCCTCCTTGTTCCAGCGCATGATTTGCTCTAAAACCATAACGAGTGCTTCCAGGTGCTTGAGCACAGTTGCGCAGTACACATCCAAGACACTCATATGATATGCGGTGACATTGTTCTTCACAACGGTATAATGAACCGAAACTTCAATGGTCGGCCCAACAAACGTAATGGAGAAGGCGAGAGGTGCGATCTTTTCGAGAGGAGAGCTGGGCACGTGGCAATTGTGGACGTCCGTAAGCTTTTGGTAGAGGTTGATCATGCAACTCGCGGCCCCCGCAGCTTGATTCTCAGCTTCAAAGGGAGTCTTCCCAGTACTATATGCCTTTCCTTCAATCACTAGGGTGGGAAATCGAAGGAGGGCCATATCCCCGACGGGGTTGGAGTAAAGGAAATGTTCGGATTCCAATGTACTCAGAAGGCTATCCACCTGCAACTCGTCGATTCCACGGTCCAACAATGCGTGAGCTACTGTATCATGTGCAAGACCAATAGTGCAATCAGGTCGAGGAGTCTTGATAACGACGACGGGTTCTTCGAGTGCCGATTCCATTGCTTCGGTTTGTGGTGTATCTGAAGATGAGCCGGAGGGTGTTTCGATCCGTCGTCGCTTTGTAGGCCTATCGCTGGTGTTGTCAGCTTCGTTGTTGACTGGTAGTAATGACGGAAGCTTGGGCTTCAAGTTCGGGTTAAAATCTAGGTCAAAAGTTAGCACGCGGACCATGTTCTCAGTTAGAGTGTTGGAGAGTACGATACAGGCCTTTCTCGCAAATCCAAATTCCGAACCCGTATCCAGTGCCTTAAGAGCTGAAATAACAACCTCATTCCAGTCATCTTCTCGGTAGTTTGCTCGAATGACTCTAGCAAACTCCTTCGACATGTGCTTAGCGACGTTGGATATTTCACTCAGCCTCTCGTTGGATATTTCACGATTGAAAATAGCTGCCAGCTTGGAATGGATATCCGCCGGAGGCGCCATGTACTGTATGAAAATCTTGACTTTCTCGAGTACCCCATAACGGTAACGAGCAGGGGACATCCATGTAGTGGTAGTTTTTGTCGTCCGTTCTTCAGGCAGATCTGGAGTGACTTCGGTTCTCGTCGTCCGTGCGCGACTCTTTCCACCTCGCTTGCCGCCTCGCTTGCCGCCACCTCGCTGACCACCTCTAGCGGCGGAGGACGGGTTCATTTCGGTAGATGGACTATTCAGTTGCCTTTGGAGTGTCTTCAAGTTTCGCGTAGTTAGCTTGAGTACTGGCCCGTGTTCTCGTCGCTGCGTGTTGTCTGGATGATATTTTGCTTCTAGGTCTTTCTGAATCTGTGAATTGGCAACCTGCTCTCCTGAGGTAGTAGCGGGTATGATTGCTGATGGTGAGTCTCCCTGTGGTTGTTCTTGTGGGGGCTTGGGTTCAACAATGAGTTTCTTAGTCTCGGCTCTGGTCACTAAGCGGGCGGTCAACGCCTGGGGAGATGAAGGGCGATCTTGGATGGTAGCTGTATTGAAGGAGTGTATACGACGCGGCCGAGGAAGTTTGGGGGATACCAGGTCTTCGCTCTTCGGTGCACTCTTTTTGCAAACCCCTAGCGTTGTTAATATGGCTTGTCCGTTCAGTAGAATGGGTGAATGAGAAGCATACCATTGACGGGACGTGGTCGGGTTTTGTATCTGTGTCCAAGGGCCATCTTGGAGAAGGCAGATAGGAGTTTTGTAAACGAACCAGCTCTTCTTTAGAATGGCGGCGTAGTCTGTCGCGGGTAGAACAAGGGATTTTCAAGACACCCTCTACGTGCGAGGCTTTGCGTTCGCTGTCAAGGCAGAGCTAGCTTTGGCGGCTGTCTTGTCTTGTGGAACAGATCGATACCTTGGGGCTTCGGATAGTGGTAATCGAACCAGGTCATATTTCGGTGTCCTTTGTTGTGTGGGTAACCGATGGCATTCCTCATGATGACGCTTCCGGTGGCATTCTCTGTTGTCTCTGGGTCAACACACATCCTTCTTAGAACCTGTAATTGGCAAGTCACTGCCCGACTTCCTCTCCCATGCTGCAGGCCGTGGTGTCATGAACAGACATTTTCTTTGTCAAGGGCGGGTGCCCAGAAGCCTGCACTTTTTGATCAATTCAACGAAGGCTGAATAGTCCAACATGCTGCCTTAACCTGCTCACCTGTATTGTGGATGTCCTTTGTTATTCCTCTCCGTCCTTGCTGCATTTTTAGAAGCTTTAAAGAAGCTGAAGGAACGGCAATTTGGATACGCCGGCGACTCCAGAACAGGGCGTGCGTTTCTGAGTTTTGTACTCGTAAAAAGAGGTCAGCAGGCGCCCTAAAGCATTGAACGCAACTTCTATTCCCGGGGTACGGGGTTCGCGGATAGTGGGAGACTCTGGCTAGCATGTTAGGACAATATAGATGATATTGCACCTGGTAGCCGTAAATGCAAGGCTATGCCGATCTCCAAGAGAAAAGCCAACCGGGTGCTCGTGTTATCCGCGGGTCAGAGAGCTTCCGGTACCCGGAAAGCGCATCTTTCGGGCTCTACCAAGCTGGTATTAGTGGCACAAAGCTCCTTGGATTGCTTCTCTGTGCGATTTTCCTGCCGGTGGTACAAGCCCAACATCGAGTTTGCGATATGACGGTATGCGACCTAGGACGACATTGCACTCATTCTACGTACCACATGTATTCGCAGACAATTGCTGTTGTAAGTTTTCGTTGTAAGTCTTCCTAGACTGGCAGGTGTTGCCCTAACCCTGTCGGGAAGGTTGGCCGAATAATTTCCACCGCGGTACATAACAAATCCGCAGGCGCGCTAGATAGATTTCCTAGCCTATGTAATCAATCAATCAATCAAGTTATTCCACTTACAGCAGGCGAGCTATGTGCATATTCTATCGATGAGTGTATAGATAGACACTGAATCTTTCTTCAGCTTGTTATTCATCAGACTGCTTCAGAAAATTGAACGCCAACACGTGCCTCACTCCTTAACTTGATTGTGACCTCGTCGCCGGCACTTATCCCAGAGGTCGTTGTAAATGAGCGGTCGGATAGTACAACTGGGCCCAGAGACAACGAGAACAGTGAGCTCGTGTCTCTATAGAGGTGAAGGTATTCCACTTTGCGAGCACCGGATCATTTTCTGAAATCGGGCCATCATCAAGAATCTCTACGATGCACGGGAGACTAGGCTCCGGATTCCGAAGGTCGAGCAGACGTGAAAGGGAGTGGAGGTCCCCAATGCCCCGAACAGCTTCCCAGGTTTCGGGTTATTATGCACTCAGACGGCCATGCTTGACCACGGCGAGCTCTGATACTGTTGTGAAGCAACACCACTAGGATGAGACTCATTCCAACGACACACAGCCTCGCGGCTGCACTTGATGTGCTGAACAAGGTCATCTTACCCGAGGTGACTTCTGACGAGGCCAAAACCTACATAGGGTCCCTCCAGGCTATCCTGACGGACCTTTTTAGGCGGCAGAGCTCACAGATCGGCTTTCTGCAGGATGCCTTGCTACAAGGCGAAACCTTGCTCGCCGAGATCCTGACAACACTTGAACCATCGTCTCGACGGAACCCGCCTGTTCCACGACTGGACCGAAACTTCGACGATCTCGCCGCCCGTCACGGCGAGCTGACGAACGAACTCTTCACCCTAGCTGAACGCCTTGTGGGAGAGAAGAACAATGACCCCAACTCATCGAAGCTCCTGCGGAGGGCGGCCAAATGGGAGCATGACTACTATGGGGGTATTTTAACCTTGCCGGTCGATCTGCCCCATATTCGGCTCCCAGAAGAAAATCCTGGTGGGCCTCTAAGTGAAGCCTTCCTTCGACGCCTTTTGATAGGCAAACGTGGCATCACACGCCTGGGCTCACTTAAACGTCTCACTGGCGGCGGCGGCAAACAGACGTACTCGTGCGTAGTCACTTACAATGATGACAGCACAGAGACGATGGTCGTTCGGAAAGAGGATGCGGTGCCACTCATTAAACGCGGTGCTTTTCGACCACATCAGGAGTTTGCCCTGCTTCAATGCCTGAACTGCACGGACTTCCCTGCCCCGCGAGTGTACAAGGCCTCTGAGCCTGTACCTGGCCCCGATGGCATCGATGGGGCCATATGTGTCATGTCACTCATGCCAGGAACCTGCCCCGGAACACTGCTCAGCTCCGCCAACCGAAGTTTCGACGAAAGCTTCCTCCTGCAGCTGGCATCTCTTCACGCAAAACTGCATGCTATCCCACTGGAGACATTCCAGCCTTACATTGACAAGTACGAAGATTCCAAGGTCCTGACACAAACCGTCACGCAGCGATACCGCAGTGCCCTGGAACGCTGGTGGGTGTACTACACATCCGTGGAGCATCTGGAGTCCCCATACCTTGTCTGGCTATTTGATTGGATGATGAAACACGTACCGGACGATGAGAGGCGTCCGGTCGTGACACATGGCGACTTCAACGTCCACAACCTGCTGGAAAAGGACGGCCAAATCACCGCCGTCCTAGATTGGGAGACGGCCGACTTTGGCGCCCCGGAACAAGATCTCGCATATATCCAACCGCTGGTCTCTAAACACATGCCCTGGGATAAATTCATAGCTGCATACGGCGCTGCGGGAGGTCGAGAGATCAACCCTAAGCATTTTGCCTTTTGTCAAGCTTACTCGATTCTCCGAACGACCTTGGCATTCAATAGGACCACTCTGAGCATCCAAAAAGGGTGGTCCAATGACCTGCGTTTTTTTCTGGGGGAGCTCGGTTACAACGCACTTTTCATGGAAATGGGGTTGAACTATACGTCACTGCCTCCGGAATCTGTCGCGCAGCTCCCAACAACAGATGATGTGCTTGATAGCGAGAGTGATACTGCTGTTGTGGCCGCGGCGGCCGCAGAGGGGCAAACAAGCACAAACCAGAGTTCGTCTTCGGGAAAATTTCACGATACAGCCACAGGCGGCCAAAAGCTGATGATTTTCGGTGACGAAGCGAACAATCGCCAAACCCCTGGTCCTCAACCGAACTGGCAAGAGAGCGTCGTCCTCGTCTGGTGGGACGAATGTAACAAAGTCGGTGGTTTTCACCGCCTGGGCCACGAACCCAACCTTCCCGGCGGTGCGAAGGTCACACTTTGGACCCATCTCATCACCCCCGAGGGCGTGTCCAAGCGCACCAAGTATGTTCCTCTCCGCGATGCCGACCTCCTTCCCGGCGGAGGTATGGGAAGTGGTGACGATACCTGCACCCATATCTTCCAAGACGGTCTCTCAAAATGGACCTTTACGGATCCAGAGCACGAGCTCTCTGCATTCATCAACCACAAAGATATCGGACCTAATCTCTCTGGATTTCCACAAAAGGGCAGCATGAAGTCTGGTTTTGCTTCCCACCATTTCGATGTCCCCGGTACCATAAGCGGCTCCGTCACGATCAAAGGCAAAACCTACACCATCAATGGCTGGGGTATTCGTGATCACGCCTGGGGTCCCCGTGATTGGAACAAGAGTATCCTCTCTCATCGTTGGGTCGTCGGTACGGCAGGGGACGCCTTGTCCTTTGTCGGTGTGACATACCACTCCTACGACGACCGCATAGCCAACTTTGGCTGGGTGGTGCGTAACGGCGTGGTCACTTACGCAAAGGACATTGATGTACTCGCGTACATGGAAGCAGACGGCTGCGTGAACCGTGGCGGACGCGTCAAGTATGTGTTGGACTCGGACGAGGTGTTGATTTTTGAGCATACACCCGTGGAAGCCAAGGCGGCGGTGGCCTATCATCATGGAATTCCGTGCGTGGATCGCATCTGCTCTTTCAAATGCAGCAATGGTCTCGCGGGATTTTCCAACTTTGAGACGAGCAACAACATACAGGCTGGGGAACGTCGCCCAGGGTTATTGGTTGATGGGCTGATGGAGGACGGATTTTGGACGCCGTGATTCCCTTCCGGTTGCCTTGATCTCCTTGTATATAACTCCATAAGATCGAGCAACAAAAAAAGGTATTTTCAATTATATCGGACATTGATAGCATGCTGCCCGATTCAAGCCCTTGTTCTGCTCTCATGGCAATGCATGCCTCTCAAAGGAACCACGTGCGGTCTGCTGGATACGATGACATTCTCCCTATGGGCAAAAGCTAGGCCACGTCGAAGTATCAAACAGTAACTCTCGAGACACGTCTCCCACATAGTAAGATTTATAAACCCCCCGTCTGCCTTGACACTTTAACCCTTGCTTCATAGAAGTCGACCAGGTTTCAAGAGAACAAATAAGACACACTCCCGGGTCCAATGTCATTGCCAGGCACGTGCCAGGGTAGACAAGTTCTCACTTTTTCACAAAAGTCAACCGAACACCTGAGAAAGTCATTTAGTGTCACATGTAAAAAAAAAATCGCTGCCAGCCCATCCACGTTGGACAAATGGACCTGAGGATCCGATCCGGTCTCCAGGACCCTACTTTTTGCTTTGATACCCTTTGCCTGAAACGCGCCACAAAATCTACCAGTTTTCATTTTTCACGTCCGATACACATAAGCGGAGGCACGCGAGCCACTGGAAGATGACGACGGAGATGTCGAAGACGGCGTCCCGTTATCACTCCCCATGACAGAATTCCAGAAATTGCTGTCCGAGTCGTCCGGGTTGTGGAACATGGTGGTGAGCCCGGCGTCGATGTCAGTCTGAGCGAGCAGCTCCAGATCGAGGGGCGGTGCTCCCCATATATCATTGGGTTTGGACAGGCCGGGTTGCATGTAATAGGCAGTCGTCACGACATTCGACGTCGTGTCGGTGTTTTGAAGATAGAAGAAATTGGGTGAATTGGTTGTCGTTGTCCCTTGGGGGGAAGATGCCGCTGTAGAGTGTTCGTCGGTGTCGAACGAGACGCCCCAGCGACTCAGAACTTCTCGCAGCCCATGTCTTGCATTGTTGGCCATTTCCCATGCGTGGGCCATGTCGGCCAGAGCTGTATCGATCGCAGAGAGGCAAGTGTCCTGAATACTCAGTTGTGTATGGCGGCCTTTGCGAGAACATGCAGCCATGGCCAGACTCGCCTCGCTCGCGGTCACCGCACCGTGGACGAAGCTGAGTGGCGCATTCTTCAAGGTGTGCTGTGCATTGAAGCGGCGGAATATTCCCACGATCGTCTCGACGGAGCCATTGCAAGCTTCAAAGGCATCGAATACCAACTTGGAATATTCCGATGAAGTCCCATGCACGTCAGCGGAGATGAGGGACCGGTTCAGGCTGATGCGCGCAGTGTGATAGATCATGCTGGAGCCACTTGTCAGTGAGATCCTCAACATAATATATAAGAAGTATGGTCGTACTGAAGATTTGCAAGGCTCGGTTCTACCTCTTCGAGATTCGAGCTCCATCGGCTCCACCGCATATCACCCGGCAGAGAATCATACCAACTCCAGAGTCTGGCATTCAGCTTGTTGTACAGCGCTTGAAGGCAGTACTCGGAGAGGAGGTGGAGTTTCCTCTTGCAGTGTACTTGCAACTGGATATCTTTGATGATGTTGCCCAGTTCCGCTTGCTTGGTCAACAACAGCGTCGAGACACGAGACTGGTCTCGATCGTCGTCGAAGCTGTTTTTGCGGTGCTGATCTACCGTTTGCTGCAAGTGGGACACCGAGGCCGCCTCGTCTAGGGAGTTTGCTTGGTCCCAGCTGGAATTGGTATTCAGAGGATCGAGAGTCGGTACCTCAGACACGAAAGAGTGGTCTTCATTCATGGGGGCCCGCCCGAAAAAGAGGCTGAAGAATCTGCGACTTGAGTTAGTGCAATCTACCTTTATCGTCAAGATTGAGGTGGGAACTTATCGGAAATAGTGAAGGTTAGAGACATGCGCCGCCGCAACTCCAAGTTGACAAGCAGCGCACTCTGAGCATGTTCTTCGGGCAACAGCGGTGAGCTGCTCTCGTGGACACCAAGATCTTGGGTCATCCTCAGGGCCATGCCTGAAGACTTTGTTAGTCGAAACTGCCTTGTCTATCAATGTGATGTGATGTGCGCACCTGAATACATCCAGGCCTTGGACACCTTTCCCTTCCCAGCGGCAAAGACGGAACACAGCAACAGGGTCTGCGACGTTGCAATATGAGGGCACCAGAAGCTATTGTTCGTGGCAGCATCCTCGGCCGAGGCGGCGAAGGGATCGGCCAACTCTCGAACATTGTGATCGTCGGACATCAGGGCACCCAAAGCACATACGACGTGCAGGAGCGCCGACAGTCTAGGTATGGGGGTCCTCGGGTGATGTCTACAGTCCTGGAGAAGTGCATCGCGGTCCACAAGCGTGCAGAAAGGGTGCTGCCATCTAAAGAATAAGGTGATACATTCCTGGATGACAACCTTGGGGATACTGGCGATGTTGTCCACGAGGGGTGCTTTGGCGGGCAACACAGGCTTCGATTTGTGGCATGAGAAAAGGCCAGTCCCATATGCACTCCCGGGAGCGTGGAAGACGGTGACCCCTGTTTCAGAACATCAGTCGACATCGATGGTCGAAGGGTGAGGAAGAGGAGACGGGGGAGGCAAGAGTGAACGAACCATCCTCATCTACGCCCCAGAACCCTCGAGGGACATCGTCACGCACAAACGTTGCCGATCCCTGGGGAGGCGAAGTCATGTTGGGCACGGGAGCAGGCAAGTGGTCTAGGAAATCGATGCCATCGATGATGGCGCTTCTCTGGGGCGCGGCCGAGGTTTTGATACTCGACAGCAACAGTTCCAACGCGGCGACCCTCCCTTCTAGCGCACCAACATACTCGTGCGATATTGGGGCTCGTTTCCAGTCGTCGGCACGGAATTCACATTGGACTCCGGCGGCGGTGCAGCTATTACAAGGGGTGGTTCTCGAGCATTTGATCTGGGGGCATCAAGGATTGACATCAGTTCTCTTTCAATTCATTTTCCGACGAGGGCCATTGGGACGACCGGGAATGCAACGCACCTTGCGTGTCTGACACCGTTTGCACCTGCATGATGGTAAGTATTAGCAGCAGTCCGAGTTGAGTTGATTTGGCTGGACGGGGCTAGGACAGGACTGGACACAGACACCCAAGTCTGCCCTGCCCCATCCTGCTCCGCCTGCGTTGTCAACAGTACTTACGAGATCCTCCTCTCGCCATGTCGCCGCATCTTTAAAGAGAGAGAGAGAGAGAGAGAGCGCGCACGCGGGCGCCACGTGGCTTGCAGAGCAGCAACAAACACCGATGTGACTTGGAGTCTAATCTGGTCTGGTCTGATCTGATCGGGGATTGATAAGGCACGCACCACCACAAGGAGGGACAACGCTACCAGCAATGAGTTGTAGCAGTCTAGGAATTTACAAGGAGAAAGTAGAAGAAGTAGGAATTGCAGCGTTGAGAACTGAACTGAATGATGGACGATCACGGTGGTGACGGTGTACGAGGTAAAAAGTGCTGATAAGACTAGCACGCCATTTCGAGCGACGGGGTGCAACCCCGAAAATGAGAAGATGGGGCGGAATTTGGCTCGATATGATTGGTTGGTGGGAACGGTGGAATGCCTCGCACAAAATACCACAGAAACTCAGTTGCGATTCTTAACCTCCATGCCTTTCTCGACGTACGTCCATTTCCGTTTCATGATCTGAGTAATTATCAGGCCAGTTGGAGCGAGTCATGACTACCTACAAGTAGCGGCCTTGTTGTGTCAGGGTGCCAAGAACACCGTTAGGCAACGCACAGCCACTGCCATACCACGTGAGCTGCACGTGAGCGGCTTCTTACACAAGCCACACAGCTACATTTTACGCAGTCAGACCTTCCTCATTGACCATTGACTACTCTTCATCCCTAATGCATGGATCACCTATCAGACTTCATTGACTCTCGACACCGCCTCAATATCTTGCGCTACTATGTTGAACGCCCAATCGTCAATTGTGCCCGGAGGTTGCCTTCTGACCGCGTTGGGCAGCGGCTTTCTTCCGTGCTGGATGCTCCCAAAACGCCCGTTAGCGTGTGACCAAAAGGCCGTCGCATGGTTGCCTCGTAACTGCATTGCCACGTCTGAGTGTCCGAACTCATAAACAGATGGCAGCCTTCCTTCCGCCAAGTTGACTGAACATTTAGTTAGTTGCAGGTCAATTCAGAAAGAAATTGCAACACACTGTTCGCTTTCAATTCCATCCCAGATGGATGAGAGGCCCGAATCGCGCGACAAAGCCAATGAACACATCGAGCAAATTCGGAGAAGTCGAGGATTCGAGAATGCAGGAGAGCAAGATATCTCAATCGCTAATCGGGAGGACCTCGAGGCGTCTATTTCCATGTAATTTTCCGATGCCTACCCTTTGTCCCCGTCCTTCTGGATGTTTGAGGAATAAAGACAAGCAGCTAATTCTATCATTCCCCAGCCTCGCCGAAGGGCTCTACGAAAAGTCAACACACTTCTTGTTGGAATTGATACAAAATGCTGATGACTGTTCTTACACCACACCGACACCCCGCATGTTGATCAACTACTGGAATGGACGTCTCCGCTTGGACTACAACGAGGTGGGATTTACCAGACGCGACGTTGAGGCACTCTGCAGAGTTGGTCGGAGCACAAAGTCCAGCTCCGGAAGCCAAATTGGTGAAAAGGGAATCGGTTTCAAGTCCGTTTTCAAAATCGCCGATGTTGTTTCGATAGTCTCTGGCTGCTACTCCTTCAAGTTCGACAGGACGAAAACAAACCTTGGCATGATCACTCCCGAGTGCGACACTTTTCCGGTCGAGCCACTCCCTGGCTTTACCTCAGTACTATTAGAACTGCGTGACAGCGGTGGCCAGACGGAGTTGGTCGACGAAATGAGATCAATGGACCCGAGATGCCTAATGTTTCTAAGAAATTTGAAGGAAATCCACATTGCTGCCTCGCCTCTGGATGAGCCCAAATGGGAAACCACTCTAGGCCGCAGCGACGATCAAGCTCGGCAAGCTACGACCTTGAGCTACGGTGATAAGTCTATGACTTACTTGGTCCGTCGTCATATTGTCACTCCATTGCCGTATGAGCAGAAACGCCGCGGCCGCGACGAGTCTGCTATCCTGCTGGCATTTCCGTACATCGATGCCCAAGAGACCAAGCTTGAGCCGCAGCAAGTCTATGCATTTCTTCCGATACGCGATTATGGGTTCAAGGTAATTATGTGGCAGCTTCGCCTCCTGTCTTGCGTGCATGCTTACAGGATGACAGTTTCTCATCCACGCCGACTTTCTGCTCATCGCCAATCGTGGAGACATCGACAGCTCGTCCCAATGGAACACCGCACTCCGGGAAGCAATGCTGGCTGCTTTCTTGGGAGATGTTCAGTATCTCCAGGGCACGGCATTTCGCTACACCTGGCCTAGATACCTGCCAGATTATTCGTATAGGTTTGACTTCTTCAGAAACTTCCGCACCAGATTGGCTGAGGAACTTCCTGAAAAGCCCATTCTGGAGTCGGAAGACGGTAAGCTGAGGTCACCCAACACTGTCAGATATGTGCCAAAACAATTTCGAGATGAGAGCAATATCCCTTTGATTTTAAATGACACAACAAAATCGAAATACTTGTCCCACGAGTACTCGGATTCTGACAGCAAGCGGCTGACGGATATTGGAGTCACCACACTATCCGACAAAGAGTTCCTTGACGACCTCGGAGTCTTTCTCCGAGACTACAAAGCTCTCATGCCGGAATCGTGGCATTCCAATATAGCAAGAGCCCTTTTGCCACTGATCTCATCTTTCGAACTGGAAATATCTGAACTTTACCTTATTCCGTTGACCAACGGTCGCCGGGTGGCAGCATCCTCCGGCAACATATTCTTTCCACGGCCCAACCCAGATTATTTTATCCCACTAGGTATTGAGGTGTTTGAGGTGCATCTAGATATTGCAAAGAATCCCGATTGTAAACGACTCTATAAAAACCTCGGGGTCAAGCAGTTTTCCAACCCTGTGGTCCAGAAACTGATCTTGAAGAAGCACTCGAACAACTTACCGGAGCTCAATCCACCTCCATCCGAGTTGCTATCTCAGGCGCGCTTTCTCTTCAGATCAGGGTGGAAGAAACCCATCGACGACGTTCAGTTTTGGGTAGTCAAGACAAATGGCGCACTATGCCGTTCGCATGAGGTATATCTTGATACAGACGAGCAATTCTCTGCATCTCGATATCTGGAAAGAGACACCCAGTTGTTTCCTTTCTTACACAGCTGCTACGATAAAGATGTCGCGTCAGAAGAACTCCCATTGTGGAGAACTTGGTTGCACACACAACTTGGCCTCTGGAAGATCCCCCGTCTTGTCAAGATTTCAGGTAACACTTCCGACCCAGAGCTGTCAGAGGACTTTCGCTATATACTCAAGAGGCGTAGTTCCCAGCAATTTTTGATGCTCCTCAAGGAGAATTGGTTCGTATACTCTCGGTCTATTTTCGAAACTTGGCCCACGGGTCTGCGGTCTCAGTTGGCATCGGTGTCTGTTCACTGTCGTGATGGCAGTCGGCATCCTTTGGAAGCAACGTCTACAGGCTACTTCATACCAGAGGATTGTCGCTCGGAATATTCAGTCCTCCCACCAATACTCGACATTCCCAATCCGAAAGACCCTGGTTGGACTTTTCTAAAAGTGTTTGGTGTTACTGTAAACGGTGATCTTAACACTTATCTTGGTATCTTGGGGCATATTCAAGGTCGTGAGGTCTCGGTTCGCTTCGTTCGCTGGCTATATGACCGAATTCAGGGTCAATGTGAAGATAATCCTGCCCTGGTGTGGTATGTTATCCATTGATCCTTTCAAAACCAGGTAAATACTGACGACAAGCAGTAACGAATTTCTGCAGAAAAATCTCATCTACATACCGAGCTCCTCACCCAGCGACCCTCCAAATTGGGTCACACTGAACAGATGCGTGTGGTCAGGCCCCAAGTGTTTAACGCAGTTCTACAAACTCAGCGAAATTCATCCAGATCACAGAATACTCTTTGTGAAACACCTCAAAGTCAAGGATGCTGGGCTCGAGACTTTGGTATTGGAATCCAAAGCAATTACACCGGCTACACGTCTGTCTCACATCGCTAGCGTTTTCAAAGAGCTTGATAAGATTATGCCGGATCCGATATCGATGGAGGACACAAAGACACTACAAGGCCTTCTCACTCTAAGTATCTTCCCGCTTGATGAAGGAGGTGATTCCAATGAGGGCTTCGACGAGCTTTCCTCCGCTACCACCGGATCTCAATGGTACATCGCCGACCGACCACACCTTCGGCAGTGCTTTCATGGCATCGTGTCTTTGCTCGCTTTCACGGTGGAAGACGTACACGCGATCAAGCGACTGATGGCTATACTGGGGCTAGAACGTAGGTCACTGTCCAAGGTCGCAAAAGAGCGCCACAGAATCGATGGAGGCAAGGCACGGGGCAAAGAGATCGATATGCTGTTTCAAGAAAAAGCCAGATTTTTTGAGCGGTAAGTCCATTTGTTAGACGTCCTAATTTTACCCTAACTATTTTGTTCAACTCTTGTGGATGAGGTATTAACAATCATTTACCATGAAACAGCCTGATGCCTGAACATGTACCAAACAAGCAACAAACTTTGGACCAACTGAAAAAGGTGAAAATTTGGCACGCGGATAAGATCCTCACAGGATGGGACGTTGAGACAACCAACCTTACCTCAGACTTGACCCGTCAAGAAAGCCTGTTCCGCGATGACGGTCTACAAGCGCTGCTCATGCCTCAAAGAGGCACAGATCCGCCGAGGATATATCTGCGAGATGACTACAGTTTATCATGCCCTCCACTAGAGCTAGCAGAGCAACTAGCTGCCTTCTGCGGTATTCCGGAATGCGTGGCACTGATACTCTTTATTTTGGGACAATCGAGCTCTCTCATCATCGAGGCTACTCTCGACCGCCGAGACATTCCAAAGACAAGAGACAAGAAACTCCGGCAAGATGAAGCTGCGCCACCTCCGGCTACACAAAATGGAAGCAATGAAGAGAGAGACGCGATGACCAAAGAGAGCTCTGCAACTGCTGAAGAACCTCAAGCCCCGGGAAGCCCTCGGACGATTCAGGAAACTTGGATTGGGCCCGATGAAGAACAGCAGGAATACGAGGAGCCAGCCTTGAAAAGGATCATTGACGATGAGGCCCAAATTGACATTAACCATTTGACATCCCAGAGTCAGAGTGAAGGTCTTCTGGATTTCAACTCTACCGACAATCAAACTTTCAACAAACAACAAAGGAGACCAGAATCTCCACACAGGGCATCATCAAATAATGAACAGATCATATCTAAAAAAGAAAGCTCGTCGAGTCGGCCTAACTATGTTCCTCTTGATGATGCTCCACGAATAAGAGAATATATCAGGGTTCAAGGAGAGTCTTCGAGGCGGAAACGCATAGCGATGGCTAGCGCTGATTCTCATGGCATTGAAACTTTGGAACGTCCAAGAATTGTTGGCCACCCTAACTATATCCACGTCAAAGACTGTCGGGAACTCCCTCGTGAAAATTTCTCAGATCAAGCACCAGACGGGAAGATACTTCCTGGCCGGGCGCAAATTTCCCGGTCAGGAGAATGCACCCTCTTTCTTGCCCTGGAGCCAGCATACAAGATCGATACTTACACCGAATTTCTTGGAGAGCTTTACGTGAGTCTTTTCTATGGTAGCTACGGAAGCAGCCCTCACTAACAGGACCAGGTATCTCAGCTCTTCGAGAAGTATCTTGGAGGAAGATATGATCCAGATAGTCAATGGACTAGTCCATACCGCCGCGAGGCAGAATATAAATCTCTGCGGGCAGAGACGCAGTCTATAGCTACATTCACATTTTCCGACGGAGCAGCAATGACAGAATTCCTCATACAGTCCGGTTCTGGATGGAGGAGGAATGGAGACTACCCGTGTTACCACATTTTGGTGAAGACTACAAACGGCGGGCAAGAGTCGCTATTTACGATGAGCACAGAGGAGATGGAAATGGTGAGCCTGTACCCAATCTTGATGATCAATCCCCAATTAAACACCCCGACTATCTAGATCCGAAGGTATCGGTTGTCGCCTGGGGGCAAACACCAGTCCCAAGTCATCATCCTTGCGAGGGTTTTCGACATGCAGTCAACCGCTAGCGCGTCATTCTTCATAGATCCATGGCACCTGTACACCGCAGGTGGGCTACAGATACGGCCGCAAGACGACTTCTACATTGCCAACACTCACGTTGCTTCACCTCATCTCTTATTCAAACATTTCGAAATGGAACTCTCCACTCCTTCATTAAGAGACTCTGTTCATTTCCTCACATCCTACATCCGGGATTCAGGCGAGCTGTGGGCTCGAAGAATGCTCCAACACGACGAACGGAAGTACAGATACAAACCTCTTGAGTGTGAATCCCTCATACGCTTGTTGAGGCTTCACCCGGGACGCGGCCGAGAAGAACTGAGAGGAGAATTGATATGTGTTTCCCTCGAGCCCTACAAGCGAAAATACCCCTTTACGGCCTTATCCTATGTCTGGGGGAACGGCCTGAAACCGTATGTTCTCGGCATCGGAGATTACGCTCTACGGATTACTGCTTCATTATACTTCGCACTGAAACGGGTGCGAGAAGAAAAACAGTCGATCCTCATTTGGGCAGATGCTATCTGTATCGATCAGGCCAATGATGTAGAGAAAGGTCACCAAGTGCGCTTGATGTCAAAAATATACAAGTCCGCGCTCCGCGTGTGCGCGTGGCTGGGGAATGAAGGAGATCAGAGCAATTCTGCGATAAATTGGCTCTGCAAAATCAGAAAGGCTTCCGAATCCTCGAAGCAAGCTGCTACGGTAAGGCTACCCTCGGCGGACAACCCGGTATGGGACATTATCAAGAAGTTTTTTGAACGCGATTGGTTTCATCGAGTCTGGATTGTCCAAGAGCTTGTTCTTGCGCCGCATATCATCTTGCTATGCGGTAATCGAACCTTTGAGTGGGATGATCTTTATGTCCCAGCCACTTTATGCTCAAGACAAGCAGAAAAGTCAACCGCCGCTCTGATGACATCGGTTTCTAAGACCATGGCGCCTGTGCTGAGTCTGGGGGGACTGAGACGTGCATATCGCAGCCAGCTTGCCAATTCCACTGCCCAGCGAGAGCTACTCACACTATTCAAAGACTTTGAGCACACTCGATCCTCACGCCGGCGAGACAAGCTCTTTGCCTTTCTCGGGTTGGCGTGCGACGTCGGTGATCCTAGCTTCGATCCAGACTATGCGGCACCGCTTGAAACGGTCGTGTGCAAATATGCGGAGGCCTTTGTCCGACGTGGGAAAGGAATGGAGCTTTTATACCATGCAGGGGCCAGCGGCTTGGAAGACGATGCTCGTTTCCCTTCGTGGGTGCCGAACTGGGTGACAACAACCTATCCGAAGACGATCACCACTTGGACAAGCAAATCCGGAATTTTCAGCGCGTGTTCTCATGAAAAGGATTCGATCAGGATTTCACCACGAAATAGTTCTATATTAACTGCCACCGCTTACGATATCGATCTAATCGCCAAGGTAGGCCAGATCTCGTTTACGGCGGGAGACCGAACGCGATGGTTGAAAGAGGTTTTCAGTTACATCGAGCCTATCAGTACATATCCTACCGAAGACAATCCCAAAGACCTCGTCTGGAAAGTCCTCGTCGGGGATGCCCTGGGTCCTCCATCTGGGAGTTGGAACATGGTCGATTTCCGTGCCTCTTACGAGGCTTTCGCCGAATACCTGCAGATGGACGCCGACCCTGGTGACTGGAACGTCGAGGCAGCCAAGATGCGCGCCGTCGCGAAACTGAAGCAGTTTTTGTTCCGACCCCAGGAATTGAGGAAGTTGATGTGGCCTTTTGTTCTCACCGCAGAGGAATTTGCGCAACGGTTCGTCGATGCCAAGGTGTGTATCACTGAGCACGGCTATGTTGGAATTGTCCCTGGAGCAGCGCGCGTAGGTAGTCGGGTCATCCTGCTCGCCGGCAGCGCAGTTCCCTTTGTTATGGACGAGATCAAGGGAAACAAAAGGAACCCCCCTTGCTACCGGCATCTCGGTGAGTGCTACATTCACGGAATCATGCACGGCGCCACGAATCAGCAATCTGGTTTGTTTCGAAAGCCCCTCCGGGATATCATCCTTTGCTAAGCACCGCGCTGGAACACGGTTGCCTCGTATATGTGGACAGCCAAATCTTGTCATCTGTGCCTCTCCAAACGTCCATTTCCGTTCCAAGATCTGAGCGAATCGCCGTTGAGACTTCCTGATCTTCCAGCACAAGAGACGTATTCAGTGCGACGTACTGAGGAGTCGCCCTCTCCAGAACTCGCCTCCCTTGCAGGGCCGCATACGGGCGGAATGCTGCATGCAGTCTACTATTGGACGCCTCAGGGATTTGGGCAGCAAAGAGACCAGATCCAATCATGCCTCTTCGCAGTAATCGCCGGTGTGAACGACCACGTGCTACGCAGAACGAACCCCTCAGTTTCGTGGGCTGAACATAGAGCCTCATCCGTCCGACATACCATGTGGGAACTCAGATCGACACGCCATCACTTCCCAATATGGAGGCCCTTGCTGCCTTTGGCGTCGCCGGCAATGTCGTGCAGTTCATCGATTTTGCAACAAAGCTCTGCATCACTTCTGCCGAGATCTACCGCAGCGTGAACGGCGCCATATTGACGTCATTATGGTCGCAGAAATCACGGCGCAGCAAAATGTAGAAGACCAGGCGGTCCTAGAAGAGAGAGAGAGAGAGAGAGACTCGAGTGCTCTACGTTGTCATTACGGATGTTGTGATGGAGACTACTAATCACGCGCAGAAGTGGCAGCAGGTGGTAGCAGCTAGGTGGGCACGTATTCCCAGGCAGACTTGCTTCCCCTTGCATAAGAGATATACATGTACTTCTCAACAGACAACAGGTAGGGGTAATTTCAGGGTAGGAGGCTGACAGCACCAAAGGCTGGATGGAGTCCACGCTACATATGAGGTACAAAGGAGCGAGACACTGAGCATCGCCGCCCTAAGCCGGTCGCAGGCTTACCCGAAGGTGATGTGCCGGATTCTGGAGTCACGAGTAAACTTGTAAAGCGGCAGGTATCAAGACTGGCGTATCGAATTGGAACAGACTCCAGACTCCAGATTCCAGAAATCATTCCTCTGAGCATTTCATTGCCATGCCACACCACCACCTCCATGTATATATCTATTTGGTGCCTAGCGACCCTCCCTCTCTCCCTCCTTAACCCCGCTACCCACCCACCTACTTAGGTATCGGGATACGGCTAACTAATGCACAAAGCGTACATCCAGCCTCCTCGAGCCCGTATCGCTCGTCGTGGACAGATACTGCCCGCGCTCAAAGGGACTGAGGGCGCTCCACACCTTGTCTTTCTGCTGGTTCCGCTTGACGTAGTACAGCTTGGCGAGGAAGAAGAGGGCGATGCTCCCGCACGTGATGCCGATGAGGATCTTGTTGCCGCGGTAGTCTGGTAACACACAGATACAGATAGGTAGGCAGGGTCAGTTTCGGGTCTTCCTCGAATGCGAGGACGTGCCAACGCTGGTGCGAAGGGAAAGAAAGGAAGGGACTGGCAGAGGAAAAGAAAAGGGCAAGGACATGCGGAGGTGGTAAAGGAGTACGATGGGGGGGATGCGTACAGTATGGTTTATCCTCGTCGCGGTAGACGTTGACCGCCACGACCGACCCGAACTGGTAGCACATGTTGTACACGGCGGCCGAGACGGCGCGGGTGCCCACGTCGTTGGAGTTGCGGGAGATGAGGGAGACGAGGATCGCGTGCGCTGTTAGGAAGGGGGTGTATTAGCTCTCTCTCTCTCGCTCTATCACTGCAAAGTTTTGGACCTTGGCTTTGGAGGTAAAAAGACAAACAAGGTGACTCGAGACTTACTATACGGCTCGCCATTGACACCCGTGAGCAGCGCGTATCGGACCCACGGGCTCGCACTCTTGGATATCGCCAGGAGGCCGATGAAGAACGGCAACACCCACCACACGCAGAGAGACGAGAAGAGGAGTCTCTCGCGATACTTTTCGCTCATCCAGGTGACGACGAGGATCTTTTTTTCCGTGGCGTACGAGTCAGTAGGGTCTCGACGAGAGTCTAGACAGGATCGAATTGAATCGATTCGAATGATGGATGGATGAATGGATGAATGGATGGATAGACGTATAGACTAGTAAAGTGCAGAGGGGTAAATGAATGAGGGAGAGAGACTCACATTGATAAAGAACAAAGCGTATCCCGGCACGGCGAGCATGTTCGCCTCGAAGACGGTGTATCCCAGATTCCTCAGCGTCAGGGACAAGTAATTGGCCGCGGGCTGGAAGGGGATGAAAGCGATGAATCCGAGCTTTTTACCCACGCACGCAAAGCAAAAAAGTCAGCACAGACTCTCGGAGGCGTTTCTCTCTCTCTCTCTCTCTCTCTCAAGTAAGTCCTTGAGAAGGGGGGGAAAAAAACTCACAATATATAGCGGCCACAGGTCCACGTCAACGACGGCCTTCCAGATGCGCTTGACCGAGACGTGCTGTCGGTTGTGCATGTTGCCCTTGGACGGGTCGTCGCGGAGCAGGCGGTTGACGAGAATCTTCTCTTCGCGTTCGCTGAACCACCCAGTGTGGCCGTGGAGCCAGGTCGCGCGGCCGCGCAGGATGCGGTGTGTCTCGGTGATGCTGGCGGGCATGACGAGGAAGGTCGACAGGCCCACGACGATGCTGAGGAGGCCTTCGATCAGGAAGCTTTGGATAACAAATTAGCACAGCACTGCAGGGGTAACAAAACACTGCATGTCAAAAGAGAATCTGTCTTACAGCCACTGCCACCCGCTCCAATCGTGTATGCCCCTCATCTTGAGCAGGCCAGCAGCCATCAGCGCCCCGATGATCTGCGTCACAGGTATGGCGGTCCAAAAGACCGACAACCGAATGGACAGTTCGCTGCTCTTGTAAAAGTACGTGAGGTAGAGGACCATGTCGGGTATGAACCCGCCTTGGGCCATGCCCAGGAACGCGCGCGTCAGGTAGAAGCCCGTGCGGTCGGTGATGAGGCTCTGGCAGCAGCAGATGGTGCCCCAGACGCAGATGCAGATGGGCGTGAGGACGTCCGGGCCGAGTTTCTTGCTCAGCAGGCCGCCGGGGAGTTCGGCGGCCAGGAAGGAGAAGAGGTAGATGGTCTGGCCGTTGTTGAAGTCGTTGGTGTTCATGTTCAGCTCGTCGAGCTTTTCAGGGCGTAAGCATATCTCAATGCACAGAAAGATCGTAGGCGATGGAATGGATGATAAGGGGCTTACCATGTTGTCCGAGATGGCACGGTTGATGTTTCGCCGCACGAGGTCCAACGACGAGAACATGATCCACACCCACAGCATGATTCGGATATCGATCTGGAGAGGAGAGGGAGACGTTTAGAGATTTACTCAATACACTCCAGCTCATCGACGAGAACATACCTTGCGGATGAGCTTCTTCTCCTCGCTCGAACTCCACTGGATCGCAGGGTCGAACCGGTGACGGCCCTCATACTGGGCTTGTTCGTAGACACCTTTCCAATAGTCCGCCGCGATGGGAACACTAAAGGCGTGCTGCTCAGTCGAACCGGTGTAGGCGTCTTTGACTCTGCGATCGAGCTCGTCAAGCTCCAGGGGTGTCGAAGTGCCGGCCTCGACGGAGGAGGCGTCCTTTTCTCTCGGCGTCATCGAGGCTTCTGTGACAGTCTTCTCTTGCACTGTGATATTCCTCTTGGCGGCTTCGACCATACTTGTCGTCTGCAGCGCACAGATGAACAAAGGCCAGTGAGGTATAGAGACACCTCAGGGGTATCTGTCAGAAAAAAAAAATTCGGTATCAAAAAATGACCGGTCGTCCCCTGTCAGACGGAATGGAGCTTCGAGGGTGGTATATATATTCTCCTTATAGGACCGAAGATTGAGCACGCCATCAAGCGGTGGCATGTACTCCAAAGAAAGGGTGATCATCCTCTGCCAGCAGGGTAGCGTGTGCCACTCCCCTCCCCCCCTCAGAGCCTTGCCGCTCTTGTATCTGTCCTTCCGGGCTAATGAGGCGCGTGTGCGCACTACACTAGGCAGTGGTAGTCTAACATGTGTATTGCATCTGCACCTTTGGCCAGGGGTTTGTTTGCCACACACACACACAACTCCAAAAACGCCTTCGAATTCTTCGATAGAGCGATATCGAGATCGAGAATGAGAAGGAGGACGAGGCTTGCAAGATTCTTTCGTGCTTGGCTGATAGTGACTGACTGACCGAGTGTGAGAGAGATAACGCCATTGCCGAGAAACGGAGTCCAACTCCATCGACGACCAAACGGGATCCACACCGCGATACATACGCCGCAACCTCCATGTCGCTTGGAAATCATAGCCTCGTTACGAACTCGAGGTGTCGCCTGAGAATCCTCTGCCTGGTAGCTGGTAGAGGCAAGCCACTGTGGAAGCTTACAATGATGTGATTGCGAAATCCTAGACGATGGACGACGAAGCCCGACGGACTTGGACTCCGTGTCACAGGGCGGCAGGGTGTTAGCCATGGCGGGACGGACTTGGACTCCATGTGTCAATCCACCCAGAGATCTAGAGTCGGCAGGTCTTGGACTAGGTTCTTTTGAGAGTGCTCTCACGTTTGAGAACCGCGGGCTTGTAGGTCACGCTTTAACAGGTCATGTCTCGTGCAGGACGCAGGACGCGTACATGATACGATTCCGCAAAGCAGGCTGGGTGTGAGAGGTAGTGAAAGGGCGGAGCAAGGCGTGTTCAATACACAGCCATTTCGAGGTGGGAATCTCGACACGAGGACATTCGATTTCCATCTCTGGACCTGACCGTGGCCCTGAGCCACGCTGAGATTTCCCTGCACGTGACTGAGTGTGGTGGTAGTCGGCCTGAGCAACGGATCAATCGCGCCCATATCTGGGCCAGGGACCCTGTTCCCAGCACCCGCCTCGCCGCCTATAGTTGCCAAATTATCGCCTCGGCATAGCCTACACTGCCCAATACTTGGCCCCGATTCTAGTTGACGTCATGGTCACAAAAGTTCCCTTTCTCTAGGTTGGGTTAGTCTGGGTCAAAGCCTGGCCATCCCCATTGCAGTAAGGAATCGCCATAAGGACATCGAGTCAAAGTGCTTCATTGCTCAGGGGCTTCGCGCAAGTTGATATGGGGGACTCTCATTCATTATCCAATCATGCTGGCAGCCACTCACTCTACCACATGAGTTCGAAGAAGGCGCTGCGGATGTTGAATGCTTCGTGGTCAGCCAATTGATTTACTGCTGGTTTCGACTGCTACACGGATCAGCGGTACAAGCAAAAGACTCTCAGCGGTACAAAACCCTCTCGTCGGCCCAAAAATCTCAGCGGCCCAGGCATCTCAGCATCTCAGCATCTCAGCATCTCAGCATCTCAGCATCTCAGCATCTCAGC